GGCAGCTCTGCTTGCCGCTGGGATGCCCCATGCCCAGGATCTCCCCCCCTGCCCCGCTCCCAGTTATTCTGCTGGCAAGGGAGCCAGCATTGTGATGAGCTCTTCTGAATTTGAGCAGAGAATAAATTGGGTTTTAAATCCAGATTTTTATTTTTTTTTTCCAGGCTGGAAGCTGCATGGGTTTGGAATCGCTGCTTTGGGAGGGGAGGAGTGAGGAGCGCCCCCCACCCCAGGAAAGGTGGGGGATGCTGGGGGGGAGGGATGGGAGGATCAATAAGGGGTGGGGATGCTAAATGGGGGCAGGGAAATGAGAGCAAAGCACAGACACCCCGCCTGGGACTGGTGTTGAGCCAGATGAGCATCGCTCCCAGGACAGCACGGCCCAATCCAGACGGCAACGTGGGATGCAGCTCCTCCAGCCTGGCAACCTCTTTGGCAAGCACAGGCTGCCAGTAAAGGGGGACCCCCCTACCCCCCAAGCTGCCAGTAAATGGGACCCCCCTACCGCCCAGGCCAGGTATATTTACTGCAATTTATGTGGCACAACTCAGTGAAAAGCCCCGGGGGACCACGGAGCGGGCACTGCCCTTGGAGTAAAATTCTCCATCTGCTTCGCATCCCACATCCATCTGCATGCAATGGGATTATGAGGGACCGGAGGGAGCCAAATGCACAGACATCTACAGTCAATAAAAAGCATTTCAGAGAGAAAACTGGATTTCAGGCCAGGGCAGAGCCGGGCGAGAGCCTGTGCTGGCAGATTAATTAATGCTTGTTGGTGCCTCAGCCCCACCACTGCCCCCGTTGCTGCCTCCAAATGACGTGCTTTAGCAGAAGACGATCGGCCGCTGCCTTTTGTAGCTGTCTGCGTGTGAGAACGCTTTCTTACGGCTCCCCCAAGTACCCTCCGGAAGGATTTTGGCGTTCCCTGCTCCCCTCCATGCCCGCTTCACCCGCCTGGGGCTGGGCTTCCAGGCTGGGATGGCTGCTGGCCCCAGCACGTCCCACGGCTCAGCCCCAGCCCACTGGCAGTGCCAGTGGCCGCAGCGGGGACAAGCCCGTGGCACCTCT